AACAGATAATTGCAGTAGTTTTGAATCTGTCCAACTGCTGGCAGTTTTATAACTGTTTAGACAATTTATTTGTTGTAGAATTCGGACTTGAAAGAGGTACAATTTTTTGACAAAAAATTTGAATTCAAATTTGAATTAATTTTATTTTGAAATTCAAATAATTTCCTGCAAGAATTTGAAAAAATTCAAATAAATTTTGTCCAAAAAATTAACATTAGAACCAACCTGACCCACAACCGTGCCTGGATGGCGGCGGGGCGGGCGCGCACGTGTGATGGTTTAAGCCAAGGTTCACTTTGTCCATAATTCCCCCCTTCTACAAACTTGGGGTGCCCCTTGGGGCCCAATCCCAATGTTGATACCTATAACTTATACATACGCATAAATTCTCTTAATTTTCCAATGTAGGACAAGCCTTATAAGGAAGCTCACATTTTATTTTTTATTTGTCCATTCCACAAACCCGAAAATGATATCAACTTCTCATTCACTCATAAATGGTTTTGACGAACCATTTGCACCGTGTGACTTGCCATGCGGCAATGAACATGTCACCTCTTTGGATCTATCTTCACCCACTCAAATTTGGGCTCAAAGTTAGCCCAAAATAAGCTTATAAAAACCATAAATCCCAACTGAAGATCGTTTCACAAACCACTTGTCTGAATAGATTGGGTGATTGTGGGTTAAATTATCAAACATCTAGGAATCAGGGATACAGAAATGGGATATGGTGATATGGATACGGCAATATGTCAAATATGAAAAAGTAAGATATGGATAAGGGGTGTACATTTGTAAAACAAAAAAAAAAAAAATTATTTTTTATATTTTTAATAATGTAATATGCATGAAAATAAAACCTAAAGAAAATTAATAAATAAAAAGAGGGATTCCTATTAAATAAAGAAATATGGTAAACTATCAATAGGTTTTAATAGTTGGACTTAATTTCCATCAAGTCCTGTTAAAAATAAGTTCTAGTAAAATCGTTGCTAAAAATAATTTTTTGTGACGATTTTTTGCATATGTTGCTAAAATTTGACAATTAGTAACTTTTTTTGTCACAATTTTTATAAATCGTTGCTAATACTTACAATTAGTGAGTTTTTTTTGTGACGAATCTTTCAAATTCTCACTGAAAGTTGAAAATTAGTGATTTTTTTGTGACGCTTTTTTTTAACTATCGCTGAAAATTAATAATTAGTGATGCTTTTTAATAGTATTTGATGAAAATCACTATTAATTCTCACAGGACCTATTGAACAATAAGTCCACATATTGGGGCTTACATGTAATTCCCCCAAAGAAATACTAATATTAAAGTTCCTAAAATTAAAAATTTGGTAAAGAAATACTTACATTAAAACAATGTAGGGGAAAAAAAAAAGTGGAAAAAAAATTAAATAAAGCAACCTAATAGATAAGGGGTAGGGGGAGGGAAGAAATACTTACATTAAAACAGTGTAGGGAAAAAAAAAGTGGAAAAAAAATTAAATAAAGCAACCTAATAGATAAGGGGGAAGGCGGAAAGAACAAGAGCTAAGAGTATTGACCATTGAAAAAATATAAATACAAAATAACAAAAATATCGAAAAAAAAATTATATACTTATTTGGCATATTAAAATATAAAAAATTAAAAACTAAAAAAAAAATTAGATACTTATTTAGCGTATCCCTCATGTATCTTGCCATATCTTTCAAGTATTTTTCGCATATCCCTCTCATATTCGAAATTTGCAAAAATAAAATAAAAATAAAATAAAATTGAATACATATTTGCCATATTCAATACATATGTCATATCAAATGCATATCTATATCCGATATATATATTTAATACTCATACCATATGTTTTTTAGAATATCTGTGCGTCATAGTCAAACATGTGGTGTGGTGGGTGCCCATAGATGGCACTTTCTTCTCCCAGGTCTTTTGATTTAGTCCAAGTCAGTCAAGTATCATGCAATCAGAGGTGAGTTTTTACCTAGGTAGTCTCACAGTGGGTCTAAAAGCATAAGACAAAAATAAGTTTGGTACATGTGCTTTGTTTTTCATTTTTGGATAAATTATCAATAGATGTTAATAATTGGACTGAATTTCTATTAAATCCAATTGATTCATCGCAGAAAGTTGATCCTATCAAAATCATTGCTTAAAATTGTCAATTAATGACACTTTTTGTGACTTTTTTTGATGTGTCGCTAAAAACCAACAATTAACAACGTTTTCTAAATGTCACTAAAAACTAATAATTAGAGACATTTTCTGTGATGTTTTTCTAAAGATGTCGCTAAAAATTAGGGGTACTTACCAATCAGTCTTATTAACTAAACTTATTTACTTACAGGTCCTAACTGATAAATTTATTACTATAAAAATAAGAGACTGATAAATTTATCACTATAAATTTATTCATAAAAACGAGAGACTGATAAAATAGGACTTAATGGGTAGCAAGTCTTAAAAGTAGGACCTATTGGTAATTTTCCCTAAAAATTAACAATTAACAACTTTTTTTATGACGAATTTTTAAAATTATCTATAAAAACTGATAATTAGACTTTTTTTTTATAAAAATGTCGCTAATTATCACAAAATTTATAAGACAACAAATCCATCTATTAGAATGTAGACAGTCCCCTTAATTTTTTAAGAACACTACTTTCAAACGAGTCTAGCCATGCCCTAGTGATGTATATGCAACAGTATTTAGGTGCTTGTGAGGAAAATAATATTTATGAATTTTAGGGATCAAACTCTCTAAAAGTACAAATTTTATTACAAAAAATAATTAGGAGATTATTTCATGTTGTCACTATAAGCCCGTCTCGAAAAGTCAAATAAATAGACTTTTAGCAATAAAATTATGAAAATGTCACTAAAAGGATATTCGTTCGCAAGTGTTCAATGTCATTGATAAAAATACAATAAAAAGGCACTTTTAGTAACTACAATACTTCGTTCCTAAGTGTTCAATGTCTTCAAATGTGATTTTTTTTTCTCTAAGTTTTTATCACTATAACTTTAATTTATTATAAATCCTTAAAAAAAAAGAAAAAAGAAAAGAGAAGGATGACGGTCTATTTTTAAAAACATATTTAGCATCTATTTTTTCATGTGATAAAATAAAAATATTACAATTATCAAATTGATCTAATCTTTTTTATGAATATGTATGCAAAGGATCCTATAAAATAAATAATTTAAATCATTGAAATGGGATTCATAATAAACCCATAGACCTAAATAATTTATTCAAAAATTTAAACTTAAGGGATGTTTAATCCTTTTATAATAATATTCTATATATTGTGTTCTGTTTGGGCATTATAATAGTTTAATGAATCCCACCATTTTTTTTTCTTTTTTCTTTTTTTTCTATTATCAATAAATTGAGATCATAAACAAAAACATAGTAAAAAAAAAAAAAATTGAATGAAAGCATTACAACATTATTGATTCCACAGTCCAAAGAAAAAGGAACACAAAAAAAGAAATAAATTTGCCACGTTGAATAATGATAGGGACCAAGAAACTGACACAATACACACAAACGGACACATCAGAATATATATCACAAGGTTGGATATCACTCTAGCAGACGAAGAACACCTTGAATCCACAAAAAACAAAGAATTCTCAAAGAGAATTTGAATTATATTGAATAGAAGTTGATTTGCCCTAAATCATATATCCTTATATAAAATGAACGAAGTCCTAACTAGACAAGAAAACAAGGAACACAAAAATAAATAGAAAATTTCCAAAAATAAAAGAAAATTGAGTTAAACCCAAATCTAAATACCAAGAAACAATAGAAACGTACCAAAATAGACGACGCTAAAAATGGACATCTCAAAATAAAGCTATTGCTAAAACGAAGCTTTCCTAAAACAGAAAAATCACTAATTTGAGAATTATTGATTCCACAGTCCAAAGAAAAAGGAACACACAAAAGAAATAAATTTGCCTCGTTGAATAATGATAGGACCAAGAATTTAGATAAAAAAGTTGATTAATAAAAATTATTGTATGATCTAAGAATTTAGATTCTCTATAGCGCAACACTGTATAATATCAAAATGATACATTGTATAATGATACATTGCATCAAAAACGAACACACAAAAACGCTTATTTTGAGAAGATAGTAAAAAGTAGTTTTTTGGCTTTTAATCAAATTTTTGGTTTTTTTAGACAAATGATTTAGAAATTTGGTAAAAAGTGACTTTTGACTTTTTTTATTAATGTTTGTTTATGATGTCAAAACATAATAAAATGACCAAACTATCCCTATTTATTTAAAATATTTATAACTTCACCTATGTAACAAATTATTGACTCATGAGGATAAAATTATAATTTCACCGTTGGCTAAAAATCAACTTCCCAAATAAAAAAAAAAAAAGACAAAAAAACTAACTTTTGACTTTTATTCCAAACCAAAAAAAGTGACTAAAAATTAACTTCCCAAAATAGTCCAAAGAAATAAAATTTTCCACGTTGAATAATGATAGGGACCAAGAATTTAGATAAAAAAGTTGATTAGTAAAAATCATTGTATGATCTAAGAATTTATATTCTCTATAGGGCACACTGTATAATACATTTTGTACTGCATCAAAATGACATCGTTTTGTTTACTATTTAAGACAAAGTAGCTCCCTCTGACAACCACCCACCCTACCCTGAACCCTGCCAAAGCCACCTCCTCTCTCCACCCTACCCCCAACCCACCAGCTTTGGCGATCACTCTACCGTGAAGACCGACGAGATCGAGAGAGAAAAGGGAAAGGAGGGTGGATCAGTAGGTGGCGACTGTTGCTGCGGCGATGCGCGACGTAACCAGAGAACCGATTATTGAACCGATCCAAGGTCTGAAGGTTCAAAAGAGAGCCGAGATCCAGCAAAATTTCACCAGAGATATTGTTTTGCAACAATCTACACAATACACACAAACTGACACATCAGAATATATATCACAAGGTTAGATATCACTCTAGCAGACGAAGAACATCTTGAATCCACAAAAAACAAAGAATTCTCAAAGAGGATTTGAATTATATTGAATAGAAGTTGATTTGCCCTAAATCATATATCCTTATATAAAATGAACGAAGTCCTAACTAGACAAGAAAACAAGGAACACAAAAATAAATAGAAAATTTCCAAAAATAAAAGAAAATTGAGTTAAACCCAAATCTGAATACCAAGAAACAATAGAAACGTACCAAAATAGACGACGCTAAAAATGGACATCTCAAAATAAAGCTATTGCTAAAACGAAGCTTTCCTAAAACAGAAAAATCACTAATTTGAGAGCTTAAGTGAAGGAATTTGGCTAAAATCCACCATACATTATCCCCAAAGTGGTGATGACTTTGATTTAAAAGCTATTTCCATTTAGAATACCAAATTTGAGATAATTCCAAATTCGTTACAAAAGTGTCACTATTATCCTCAATTTGACTCTTCCTTACCCTTTGTTGATCCAATTGTTCAAAGAGTTCATCATCTACTTGTTCTACATCACAAACCCATCTCAAAAATTGGACAACTAGAATTAAGTATATAGGGAGAGAAGGAAACAAATTGGGGTGTGAAAACTTGGGAACACAAGCATAGATCTTTTATGCCATATATGCTCTGATTTTAGATTTGGAAGGTTGGCTATTATCCTTAACAGAGTTCCTGATTATTTCAATGGTTGTGTTTTGATTAGTGTTTTGGGGTTCTGGGTTTAAATTTGATTTTACTTGTGTGATCTAGGTTGTGTCTGTTTATTGCAGTCACTGTCTGGGATCAGATGCAGGAAGAACAGAAGGGAACTTTTGGGCCTGAACAATGGCTCAACAGCGGACAATAAATCAAAGAGAGCCAACCATGGAAACAACAATTGGGGGATTTGTTGAAGAGAAAGTTATTGACGCTTGGGAGAGAGGTGGTGTTGCAAAGATTGACGTTGGCAGAGGAAGCTTGGAAGCTTGGAGAAGATGCCATAGTCGTTGTGGGTTTCATGAGACCGGAAAAAAAAGAAAAAAAAAAATACACAACGTCATTTATTGTGTGCATTACAGAGAATGAACTATAGGAAATCCAAACTCATGATGTAAATTCAATTGTTACATTGTCAGATCCACACATAAAATAAATTTTAATTGCATATTATTTTTCTTGATACGTTTTTTAAAGTTAGTTGGTAGTTGGCACCGTAAGTTTCTTTTCTCACTTTTACCATTGACAAAGCTTTTCACAATATAAAACCCAACTATCAGAAGTTTCGAAACATCTGCCTTTGCCACACCAATGCAACCTTCTCTCCACCATCACTACTCCAAACCTCAACTTTGCTAGCTATGGACCACCTAAAAATAGTCAGAATCTTTTTTAGAGTAATTTTTCTCGAAGTGATCTCAAAGTGCTCGGGTTAAGGTTTATAAGTTAGAAGGTGAAATAATTATTTCACCCTTAACTTTTATAGAATTAAATCTCAACTGTCCAAAAAATACTCTTAAGACCACTCTTCAACTCTTCATCAAAGATTGAAAAATCCCAAAAACAATCAAGAATTTAAGAGAGCTCCAGGAATCTGACTTGACAAACAAGAACTTGACTGTACCAATCCAAGTAACTTGTTTCTACTGAAGACTTTAACAACACCGTTTTACCTCTACAAAAGTCACTTGAGTGGGGCAACTCATCGGCCCATTGAAGCTTTGAAAGATGGAGGTAATCAATTTATCCGAAAACAACTTGAACAATACTGCATGACTTTGGAAGTCTAAACAAAGTTGTCGGGTTTGGCTATGTTTTTCAATCTACTCTTTGTTTTTGTTATTTGTCTATTTTTTATTTTTTAGCCTCATATCAAGACAGCCGGGAATCTAAAGTTAACACCTAGACAAACCTCCAGTGATCTTTTGAGAAACTTGAACTTAAGGTATTGAATCTTATCCTCAGGTCTCTGTTTAAATCTATTTTCAACAACTGAAGATGTTATTAGAAGTAATTATTTATCCAGATTGGGCATTACAACCTGAATTCTTTATCCGGATTGGTACTTATTTACAAGTGAGACAAATAATTCTGTCCAAAAGTTTTGAATTTTGTGCAGTTTGTTGCAAGATGATTTCTTGCCCTTTTCAACTAAAAAATGTTACATGGGTTGTGTGTGTTCATGGTACATTGACTACAGTTTGGACCCTGGCATTAGCTTGATTAACTCTATCCAAAGTTTGTGAACATCTAGAAAACCAATTTAACAGCAAGGCCCTATAAAATCAGAAAAATGCCCTCTTCTCTCTTTCTTTTTCTCTTTACTCTTGTCGCAATCTTCCTTGCATTGGACAATTGGCATGGTGGAGGGAGTAAAGGGTGGAGTTGGTAGTGGCAATGTTGAGTGACAAAGGGGTGGTTTGCGACTGAGGAGGATGAGGAGGGGTGGCCAACAGGAACGGCAGTTAAGGCAAGGATAATGAAGAGATGAGAGAGGTTTAGAGGCAAAAGAGTAAAAATCACCACATTTTTTTTTTTTTGCAGTTATTTTTACCTTTCCATCCTTATTTTAATTCATTTTTAATTCTCCATGTATTTGATATTATTTAATTTTCCGTAAATAGAACATCATTATTCAAGATTTGCTATTGCTACTTTTGAGTGCGGTGTGCATTTGCGAATGCAATAATTCACAAAAAAGAATCTAGCTTGTCTCAAGTGCTATGGTGCTCAGAATAATCTTTTCACTTTGTTATTTTATGTCCTAATGTATAGATTATATATGAATAAAAATATTAACAATTGTATCATATCATTTTAATATTTTATTGTTAAAATAAAGAACAATCTATTTTAAAAATTATATTTATCGTTCATTTTTTTATTTTTTTATTTTTTTGTAAATATATGATAAAAGTATATGATTACCGTGGATGGATAAAATAATAGCTCCGGCACAAATCAATTAAACATCAACCCAGAAGAAATGAAAGGCTCATATGAGCTTTTTAAGAGCCCATTAGGAACAACTGGTAGAAAGCTGATATGTGCTTGAAAGCATGAAGGGCAATCAAGCATAAAGATATCCTTCTAGAAGAGAAATCTACAGAATGAAAGAAGGACGTTGGATTAAACTTCATCTAATGGCAGAAACACGTGACAGAAAATACATGAACATAGGTCAAGCCTAATAGACAACAAGATTGTCCAATCAACTTGATCCGAAGGATACAACGTGTGACAAATTGGTTACTAGGATCTGACATAATATGAGCCGTCTCTAAGATGATAATCTAACGATGAAGGATAAAAGCAACCTGGCCACTTGCTCGAATAGGGTTAGGTAAAGGTAGAATCCTCGAATCGGATAGTGATCCAACGAATGAGATTCAAGTTAGGTAATTATAAAAGGCCAAGCAAGATAAGCATAGAGGACATACCAGAGGTAACCCAATAACTCTCTTTTACATACAGATTATTATGGCCAAACAGTTAACTGACTTGACCATCAAAGAGTCCTCCCGACCTATCTTGATCGAAGGTTATTACTAACGTTTTGGTTTATCTTGACAGAGTGAAGAAATGGACACGCCATCTCGCTTTTCTTGTGGAGAAAATTTCACCTTTCACAATTACATTTTAGATCAATCTAAACTTTTTATAAATGATTAATATATCAAGACTCAAAAATAATCGGAATAAATTACCAAAACGAGACTTATAACAAACCTCAAGATCTACACTAAACGGTCCAGGGTGATGCTATGGTACATTTAGGTGTACCATACATTTAGTTATGAACTTATATGATTTTATATCATAACCTATACCATATTAGTCATAACTATCACCATATTAACTCATAACTTAGTTATATTCAATTATTTACTTATACCATATTACTTCATAACCAGGTCATTAAAAGTGACCTGCTAAACAGGTCACTTTTTATAGTTATGAGCTAAAATCATATTTCTTCATAACTATAATCAAATTGATCATAACTTAGCTATAACTACATCTCATAACCAACACCATTTTGTTCATAACTAATATCACATATTTCATAACAACATCTCATAACCAACACCATTTTAGTCATAACTAACATCACATATTTCATAATCATAATCACATATCTCATAACCAACACCACTTTGATCATAACAAATATCACATATCTCATAACTATTGATCACATATCTCATAACCACATCTCATAACCAATCCCTTGATTGTAGTTATGAAATATATGATATTGGTTATCAACAAAATGGTGTTAGTTATGAGATGTAGTTATGAGATATGTGATTGTAGTTATGAAATATATGATATTGGTTATCAACAAAATGGTGTTAGTTATGAGATGTAGTTATGAGATATGTGATTGTAGTTATGAAATATATGATATTGGTTATCAACAAAATGGTGTTAGTTATGAGATGTAGTTATGAGATATGTGATTGTAGTTATGAAATATATGATATTGGTTATCAACAAAATGGTGTTAGTTATGAGATGTAGTTATGAGATATGTGATTGTAGTTATGAAATATATGATATTGGTTATCAACAAAATGGTGTTAGTTATGAGATGTAGTTATGAGATATGTGATTGTAGTTATGAAATATATGATATTGGTTATCAACAAAATGGTGTTAGTTATGAGATGTAGTTATGAGATATGTGATTGTAGTTATGAAATATATGATATTGGTTATCAACAAAATGGTGTTAGTTATGAGATGTAGTTATGAGATATGTGATTGTAGTTATGAAATATATGATATTGGTTATCAACAAAATGGTGTTAGTTATGAGATGTAGTTATGAGATATGTGATTGTAGTTATGAAATATATGATATTGGTTATCAACAAAATGGTGTTAGTTATGAGATGTAGTTATGAGATATGTGATTGTAGTTATGAAATATATGATATTGGTTATCAACAAAATGGTGTTAGTTATGAGATGTAGTTATGAGATATGTGATTGTAGTTATGAAATATATGATATTGGTTATCAACAAAATGGTGTTAGTTATGAGATGTAGTTATGAGATATGTGATTGTAGTTATGAAATATATGATATTGGTTATCAACAAAATGGTGTTAGTTATGAGATGTAGTTATGAGATATGTGATTGTAGTTATGAAATATATGATATTGGTTATCAACAAAATGGTGTTAGTTATGAGATGTAGTTATGAGATATGTGATTGTAGTTATGAAATATATGATATTGGTTATCAACAAAATGGTGTTAGTTATGAGATGTAGTTATGAGATATGTGATTGTAGTTATGAAATATATGATATTGGTTATCAACAAAATGGTGTTAGTTATGAGATGTAGTTATGAGATATGTGATTGTAGTTATGAAATATATGATATTGGTTATCAACAAAATGGTGTTAGTTATGAGATGTAGTTATGAGATATGTGATTGTAGTTATGAAATATATGATATTGGTTATCAACAAAATGGTGTTAGTTATGAGATGTAGTTATGAGATATGTGATTGTAGTTATGAAATATATGATATTGGTTATCAACAAAATGGTGTTAGTTATGAGATGTAGTTATGAGATATGTGATTGTAGTTATGAAATATATGATATTGGTTATCAACAAAATGGTGTTAGTTATGAGATGTAGTTATGAGATATGTGATTGTAGTTATGAAATATATGATATTGGTTATCAACAAAATGGTGTTAGTTATGAGATGTAGTTATGAGATATGTGATTGTAGTTATGAAATATATGATATTGGTTATCAACAAAATGGTGTTAGTTATGAGATGTAGTTATGAGATATGTGATTGTAGTTATGAAATATATGATATTGGTTATCAACAAAATGGTGTTAGTTATGAGATGTAGTTATGAGATATGTGATTGTAGTTATGAAATATATGATATTGGTTATCAACAAAATGGTGTTAGTTATGAGATGTAGTTATGAGATATGTGATTGTAGTTATGAAATATATGATATTGGTTATCAACAAAATGGTGTTAGTTATGAGATGTAGTTATGAGATATGTGATTGTAGTTATGAAATATATGATATTGGTTATCAACAAAATGGTGTTAGTTATGAGATGTAGTTATGAGATATGTGATTGTAGTTATGAAATATATGATATTGGTTATCAAC